AAGCGATCGCGACAACCAATGGGATTACCACCAGGGCGATACGGACAAGATAATCGGTCTACGAGCACAAAGCCGGTAAAAACGGGGTTGCCGGGGTCCAATGTGCCACTACAATAAGCGAGCCAGTATTTGTGAAAAGCTAGCCCACATCGATCCCTGCAACTAACTGCAAGTAAAAATCACCACCAATAAGAGATTGCATTGTGCTTACTACAAAATAAAAACGTTAAAACTGTATAGTCGAATCAACATCCTGACGCTCTTTGAAAATAGGCCACTTGGAGCAGTAGGCTACTCAACACCCCAACAAGTGAGACAAAGTATTGACCCCGGGGACATTGAAACCACCATCATGTGGGAGATCAGACTATTTATGAATGCTCCAGACAGAGAAGAAACCTATTTGCATCATCCGTTTTCGACCGTGCATAAATAGAAACACTCCTCAGAAGCGGATGGCTCTTGTTTCGAATTTTGTGCTGGATAGATTACTCACGCCGAGCACATCTCAGCGTCCATGCCATGGCAGCTAATGCGCAGCAGATAAGGGGAGCAAAAGTAACTTTTGTGAGAACAGTGAAATGCATAAACTCGGGGCTAAAACAATGAAATAGTGTGAATCAGGTTGTCTTTCAACTGCCTCCACGCGAAAATGATACCTTGCAGAAAAACACCAGAGCCTTATGTGGTTCGCCACTTCAAGTCCCGGGGCTTAGGTTACCGGTTTCCATGACGGTGCAGCAGATCTTCGAGGCTATGGGGTTCGTCCTGTCTACTGTTCACCACAAAAATGTGTAATAAAAAAACGATACGCCATTCCGGTTGACGTATTGTCACTCTACAATAAGCATAAACTGTACTCCCCAATTTGACAATTCCCTTCGCCCCTTCCCCTGGATTACGTGTGATCAATCAGCTCCTGATCACAGTGGACAAAAATTCATGATTCCGAAGTAGCTAGGCATAACCTATGACTTGTTGTAACTAACACAGGCAATCGTCTAGCCAACAACTTACCTGTGAGTTGGTCGTACAGACGGTGATACGCTTCCATTCGTCCGGAATTCGGTGAAGGACACGGTTCGTCCGATTTGCTGTTTATGGGATGATCGAAACGGAAACTGGCCGGTATCGTGTCTTTGGTTGAAAGTAGTGCCGAGGATTGACACCCGGGAGTGGACAACGGGGGGAATGTGTTCTCACTCACCGAGCAGCTGAGTCCATGTAATGGAACCATTCGCCCGAACGGATCTGGACTGGGCAGAAACGGTAATGCTGTCTGTCTGGTCGCAGACGTATAGGTATTCGGTGAGGGAAATGACAAGTCAGATCGTGCGGTTGTGGTGGACTGACGTGCAGTGGAAGTCAGGTAGGGCATTGCATAGCTCGTATCGTACTGAGTAAACGGGATATCCGCGTTGGACAAATCCCGTATCTGTTTATGCGAGAACATATGAGCGAAAGAGTAAGCGGATTCCAAATGCGAACCAACAGAGGAGTCAACTATCACGGGGGTTGCGTGCTCAAGTCGACAACGATCTGAGCAAATGTTAGACTGATTGCACACATTCGAGTGGATGGGCATTGGGTCTTGAGTCCTATTTACTTTCACATCCGCGTCCGAGTTGTTGTTGTTGTCAAAGTTCATGGCAATCCGTTTGGATAATCGACTCTCACCCGTGCTAGTCGGATAGGTTTGGGAGTATAGTTGCTGACCGGAAAACAGTGCAACGTCCACAGTTCCATCCGCAGTGGGATAGATCATAGGGGAGAAGATGGACGGTGCAGTGGACTGAGGAGATACGGAATTATGCATTGTTTGCGATAGAACCGCTTCACTATGTGATGTCGATGATGAAGATGGGGTAGAGCAATCCTGTTTGTTGTTCAATGAAATATCCTCAGAGGCGACAGCATCTGAAAGTATTGACATCCCAGGTGAGAATACAGCATGCCTTCTACTTGTACTGCTGTTACTACTGCTACCACCGGCACCGGATTCGGCCGGTAATGCCAGAGCTGTTGGTGGTGGCGGAGTGTAACGATCGGTTGGGAGATCGCAATCTTCCGTGTGTTGGTCATGTTCCAAACCCAACCGGGACGCAGAGGTTGCGGTACTCATTAGCATTCGTGTTGGATCTTCGAAATGCGTGACCAGCATCGGTCGTTACGGCTCCGGCGACTCGGTTAACCTGATTAGTCGTCGTCGTTGTCGTCGTAAATGTGTGCATACAAGTGCGTCAAGACGATTGTGGCGGAGCGCGTGTGCATGTGCGTGCGCGTGCGCGTGCCCGTGGTGGTGACCGCGAGAATGATGGTAGCAAGCCTAACGGACAAATCGTGAACATGGATGCATTTCTGTGCGCCCGTGTGTGTGTGTGTGTGTGTGTATGTGTGTGTGCGTGCGTCACATGCAACAACATTACATTCACTAACTCACATGGGGCACTCCAAATGCGTATTTGCATGTGTGGGTGTGTGTATCCGCGTGTCGAATGAACCAATCATATAACAGAAATGTCGTGTTGCGTTCTCGATACATTTCTGATTGGTTCGCATGGACGGAGGGGATAGAGGCGTACCGCATAGCTAGTGCATCTTACATGGGGCATGATTTCCAAGATTAACTGCACAAACCATGATTTCCAACGGATTAGTGTGAAGTACAATGGTAAAAAACCCTACTATCAGATTGAACCGTTTGACAAGCATTAGAAAGATTCCAGTGCTCGGAGAGGAAATACAGGTCTTCAAATACGTTTGCGGTCGTACACTAACATTGTAAGCGACACCATTACGCGTGTCCTGTATTTTTGATATAAGCCCAAATCGACTGCTTTTAGAGAACTGATAAAGCTTTTTTACTCGCGATAGAATTAATTATGATGACTGACAACTAGGCACGGGACATTGTTTTCGTTCTTTCTAGGACTCGCCGCATGTAGGTAATTGTGTGTTTGATCAGACACTCCATGGAACTTATTGCGAGTCAAAAACTTTAACTTTGAGCCTTACAATCGACAAGCAACAACTTCCCACTTCAGAGAACGACTGTATAAAATTCATCACATTCATTCACATTTGTCATCGGCATGAATTCGCTTTGAAAGAATTTCAAGATTTTATTCAATGGTTATTTTATTTTTATAAATTTAAAATATGAGACTTTTAAAGCATTCTGTATTCGGCAACCAAAACGATCAGCATCGGAAATCTGCGCTACACACAAAAAAAACGGGAGGTGAGGTGAAGTGGAAGTAGTTTTACAGAAATCAGTTTCCTGAAAGTGCACAGCGAACTGACACTCGGAATCTATCGGACTACAAAAATAACTGGAACTGGAAATCAGTCGGAGTGGTTAAATGAAGCATTTCGCGTGATAATTATTTGCTCGTATTTTTCTCTCTTCCTGAGCATTAGGAATAAGGGGGGGG